TGGAGAGCCATTCTAATGTCACTCAGACTGACGTACATAAAGAAAATTGAAAATTTTCATGAACTGATTCGGACGAGTAGATTTAAAAGTAAGAAATCTCAAAAATAAAAATTTTGAAAAATTGTGGTATAACTTTTAAACGGCTTGATCGATAGTTTTCAAAAACTAATCAGTTCTTAACCTTAAAGAATGACGTCGAATTCCGTTTGGAAAATAAAAATCTGTTTATTCGTTCGTGAGATATCGAAGAAGAAAGAGTTTGAAAAAAACGTTTTTTTAACATAGCTTCGAGATTTCGCAACATAATTTGGTGAAATTTGGAGCGCTTTGCATTTGAAATTAGCGAGATGTGCCAGGGATGGCCTGCAGGTTTAACCAATTTTTTAATAGGATAGGGGTGTCAAACGAGCACACAGTCCACCTGATTGTAACTGGTTGCAGCGGCCCAAAGCTATCTACATCTATCGTCGATTACGAATCACAATGCAGACGCGTTGTACCCTGTGTAAGATGGAATTCTCCGTTTCCAGTAAAAAGGGTCGCCATTTTTCCACACTCACCATACGAAACACAGCAGCATTAAGCTGCTATTTTACTTTGCTATTGTGAGAGTGTGGACCTTCCTAGCAGGTATATTGCCATCGTTGACAAGCTTGGCGAGCGGTTTGGTAGCCTCAGATTTTTTATTGTTATTTTGCTGTTATTAGAAAGATCCTGCTGCCCATCTCCCGGCTTAGTTTCCCTCTGTCGCTTCTTACGACACCCACGGGAATATATGGGGTAGTGGATATTCTTACACCACCAATACACGGGGCATGCATAATATAGTGAACTCTTACTGAATCACATTTTGATTCAAAAAACGGTATCACGTATAACAGTGGTCCGTACGATCAGGGAAGTACAGCTATTTTCACTAATTTGAAACAATATTTTATGAAAAAGTTTAATAAAAAATATTTATTACTTAAGATAATTTAAAATTGGTTAAACCTATATATAAGATTTATATAGTATGTAAGATGAAAACAAACGTTCACGTGTTTTCTCATAGTTAGGAAGAAGTTTAAACTTGACGTCGCAAGCAACAGACTATATCAACTTTCTTTAATTATGTGAATTTCTCTTGTTTCACATTATGGAATGCTAATTTCTATTGATTACATAGGTGTACATAACATTAAAAAATATGAATATTTCTGAAACAAATTGTTATAAAGTAAAGTAAAGTTACAGCCTATATACGTCCAACTGCTGAGCACAGGCCTCCTCTCATTTCTGAGAGGGTTTTAGGGCAAGAAAGTGTTCACCGCGCTGCCCCAATGCGTGTTGGCGAACTTCACATGTCTTCGAAATATTTTTTTCTTATTCCTCAGACATGCAGGGTTCCTCACGATGTTTTCCTTCATCGCCGAGCACGTGGTAAATGAGCACTTAAAATTGCAATTAACAATTTCATTGGTGCCGGCGGGATCGAACCCGGTTTGCTCGCGTACTGTGAAATTTACAGCGAGCGCTAACCATCTGAGCTACCAGGGCTCCAAATTGTTATATTCAAAATAAAACAATTGTTATATTCATCTCAATTTTCATTATCTATTATATTGTTAGTTTCTGTGCTTGTTACATTTGATTCCTCACATCCACACATGAAAGAAATAAATGATCATATTTCTGAAGCATCTATTCTGTCGTTTAACATTTAATTAATTTAAGTAAGTAAATATATATAAAATATATATAAATAAATATGCCGTGTAGTGGCGGTTGAGAATATCCACTACACCATATCTTCCCGTGGGTGTCGTAAGAGGCGACAGAGGGAGACAGGCAGGAGATGGGCAGCAGCATCCTTCTGATAACAACTGTGTTATAATAAAAAACTGCGGTTGCCAACCCGCTCGCCAAGCGTGGCAACTATGGCAAATATCCCCCCATGAATAACGACGCAAAAAAACGGCCCCCAGTCCCCGGCGGCCACGCTATTCCTGGCTACGGTGGCGACCATGGTAACGGCGGGGCAGGGTGTGCTAAGAATCTCCGGTGGAGGTTCGGTTGCCACTTACGACGACTCGATCTGGCAACATATAACGCACGCACTCTGAGGACTGACGAGAAGATACTGGAGCTGGAAGAAGAGGTAGACAAGTTGCGCTGGCATATTATTGGATTATCCGAGGTCCGAAAAGAGGGGGAGGATACGGCAATCCTCGAGTCCGGCAACCACCGGGAGGGCGACCATCTGTCCCAAGGAGGTGTCGGTTTTATCGTTTACAAGTCTCTCGTCAACAACTTTGTAAAGATTGGGAGTGTGTCGATGAGTGTTTATACTCAGAATCACGGTATTCGCTGAAGGTCATAAAGGTTTGCGCTCCAACCTCGGCACATCGCGATGAGGAGATAGAGAAAATGTATGAGAATATTTCCAGAGCCATGCATTCCTCCAAAACCCACTACACGGTGTTGATGGGAGACTTCAACGCAAAACTAGGCACAAGAGAAAGCGGTGAGCTGAAGGTGGGGAAATTTGGAGTAGGGCAACGGAACCGAAGGGGCCAGCAGCTGGCCGACTTTATGGAGAAAGAGGGACTCTTTATGATGAACTCTTTCTTCCAGAAGCGGCCCCACAGGAAGTGGACCTGGTCGAGCCCCGACGGTTCGACAAAAAATGAAATTGACTTCATTACGACTACCAGACGCAGTGATGTCTCAGTGATCGCAAGGGTGAAAATTGGCAGCGATCACCGAATGGTTAGAGGCACACTGAACCTAAATGTTAAGTTGGAGAGGTCTCGTCTAATGAAGTCAACGCTCCGTCCCCCCTCGTGCTCTAATCCAGAATCTCGAAAACTTTCAGCTCGAGTTACGTAACCGCTTTCAGTGCCTACAAGATTGCAATGCAGTGGACGATATGAATGACAAGCTCGTGGAAACTGTCCATGCGGTCGGAGCTAAGTTCTGCAAGACCCGCCGCAGAAGAACACAAAAACTCTCCGATCACACTCTTAATCTCATGGCTGTTAGACGGGAGATGAGGCTGCAATCGTCAACAGATTTGACAGTATACAGGCATCTGAACAGACAGTCCATCTACCTCAAATGCATGCGGCGCGACTTAAGCAACTTTAATACTGCTCGTATTAAAGAAGCGATCGAGCGTAACCAGGGCTCCAAAGTCTTTGCCAGAGATCTGTCTGCCAGTAAGAGCCAGCCAACTATCAAAGCTGAAGACTGAGTGTGGCAGCATAGTTTCCGGGACACCTGAGATTTTGAGTGAGATTGAGAGGGTCTATGGGTAGCTGTACACATCATCGTTGGAGCCACACGCAAGTGTGAGTAACGATCCAAAAGCAAGTCTTATCCGACACTATTCCGATGATATCCCGGATGTCAGTCTGAGCGAGATTAGAATGGCTCTCCACCACCTTAAAAACGGCAAGGCCCCGGGCGAGGATGGAATTACAGCGGAGCTTCTGAAAGCGGGTGGAACACCGGTACTTGAAGTCCTTCAGAAGCTCTTCAATTCCGTCCTCCATGGTGGCACTACTCCGGAGGCGTGGAGCAGAAGCGCGGTGGTCTTGTTCTTTCAGAAAGGCGACAACGCTCTCTTGAAGAACTACAGACCGATTTCCCTTCTGAGCCGCGTCTACGTGCTGTTTTCGAGAGTCATTACGAATCGTCTCGCACGCAGACTCGACGACTTCCAGCCACCCGAACAAGCCGGTTTCCGAAAAGACTTCAATACCATAGGCCACATACATACCCTTCGGCAAATTGTACAGAAGTCCGAAGAGTACAATCTGCCACTTTGCCTGGCGTATGTGGACTATGAGAAAGCCTTTGATTCCGTCGAAATTTGGGCGGTGCTACAGTCTCTTCAGCGGTGCCTAGTCGACTGATGACTGTCGGTATATTGAAGTGCTGAAGTGTTTGTACAGTAGGGCTGCGACGGCTATCCGAGTACAGAACCAGAGTACGAAACCTATCCAACTGCAGAGAGGTGTAAGACAGGGTGATGTTATATCCCCGAAACCCTTCACCGCTGCGTTGGAAGACGTTTTCAAGCTACTGGACTGGAAAGGATTCGGTATTAACATCAATAGCGAGTACATCACTCACCTTCGATTTGCCGACGATATAGTCCTTATGGCAGAATCGCTGGAGGACCTTAGCACTATGCTCAATGACCTCAATGGTGTCTCCCAATGGATAGGTCTTAAGATGAACATGGACAAAACAAAGATCATGTTTAATGTCCATGTCACACCTATGCCGGTAGTTGTTGGGAGCACTATGCTCGAAGTTGTTGACGAGTACGTTTACCTGGGACAAATAGTCCGACTAGGTAAGTCCAACTTCGACTGAGAGGTCAATCGACGGATTCAACTCGGCTGGGCAGCGTTCGGGAAATTACGACATATCTTCTCGTCAGGTATACCTCAATCTCTGAAAATCAAAGTGTATAACCAGTGCGTGTTGCCAGTGATGACTTATGGATCTGAGACGTGGTCCTTTACCGCTGGCAGTATGAGGACGCTCAAGGTCGCTCTGCGAGCTATGGAGAGGGCTATGCTCGGAGTTTCACGGCGTGATAGACTCAGAAATGAGGATATCCGCAGTGAAACCAGAGTGACCGACATAGCCCCACGGATTAGTAAGCTGAAGTGGCAATGGGCCGGCCATATAGCTCGAAGAACCGATAACCGATGGGGAAGAAAGGTTCTCGAGTGGCAGCCTCGTACCGGTAGGCGTAGTGTAGGGCGACCCCCCACTAGATGGAGTGACGGCCTGGTAAGACATGCAGGAAGTCGATGGATGCAGGTGGCTCAGGACCGTGCTTTGTGGCATTACTTGGGGGAGGCCTATGTTCAGCAGTGGACTTGTGAAGGGCTGTGAATGATGAAGTAAATATATCTTGTTTTATAAAAAGTGAAATAAATAATTGGACGGAGGCAAAAAGCATTGTACTGAAAAAACAAAAAAAAATGAAATGACAGGGTCTACACTGTCTGGTTTAGCTATACATATATGTCAAAATTGTTATTAACTTCTATGCTTTAAAATTCTAAAAGCAATTCTAGCAAAAGTCTAAGACGATAGGAATAAAAAATGCAAACGAACGGAAGCAAGCCATTAGTAAGCACTGAATACGTATACAAACTTTTAAGGTCAATATCTCAAAAGTAGTTTTCTTGCTGGTAGGATTCTCTTTGAGTGATTACGTCTTTGCCCGAAGTCAGGAAGTTGGCGGTGTCGCACCCCCGTGCCTCGGAAAGCACGTAAAGCCGTTCGTCCTGCGCCTGATCTCTCTCCCGGTCGTGTCGTTTTACCTTTCCATCGGATTACGAGAGTGAGGTAATAGAGAGTGCACCTGTGCTTGCGCTTACACTTGGGCACTATAATCCTGTCCTGCGCCAAAGGCTAGCCTCCGCTGAGGCAGGCCGCCGTGGCCGAAATTCGGTCTGGAGGACATTATTATTATTATTTATTTTTATCACATATATTATCACAAAACTACAATAATATACAAATATAAATACAATCTATATAAATAATATTATTATTTGGGTTATTATCCACCGCGGCGAGGAATTCTAAGTCATCGGTGAAGTTAGGCATCCAAAGATAGGAACCTTCTTATTATTCGGGCCGTATTTAATAAGGCCGATTTTTGAATTAATGATTTTTTTTGCCCAAACCTAACTTGGACAGATAATAGTCCATATTTTTACCAATAAGCCCATTGACTGATACAACTATTGGTACAATAATAGTAGAATCAACGTCCCACATAGCGATAATCTCATGAGCCAGGTCGATATATTTTATTTTGTTATCATTCTCTGCTTTTACGAGATTCTCGTCATGAGGAACACTGATATCCACTATTATTGCCTTGCGTGTAGTTCGGTCTATCACCACAATGTCAGGTTTATTTGCCACTATAAACCTGTCTGTGATAATTGACCGATCCCAGTACAGTGTGACACTTCTATTTTCAAGGACTGGTTTTGGTTCATACTTATAATATGGGACGTCCTGTTGAGTAAAGCCAAATTTAATGGCAAGCTGTTGGTGTATTATTTTGATAGTTGTGAACAACCGGAAATAACATGTCTGAGGGACTCTCCAGAGTGGTGACATGCGCGACATACATATTATTATTATTATGTCTGGGTATCTGTATAGTTTTTTCATCTGGTTGGTTTCTATAAATATATAATTACAAATTAAAATGAAAAGATAAATATACATAAATATCAATAAAATAAAATAAATACAAAAAATACACAAATAAATAAAGATCCAACCAGATGGAAGCCTTCAGCAGGGGAGACAAAACGGCCGAGGGTTAGGGGGAAAGGGAAAGAAACCGACGGACGATGCGGGCGGTATCGAGGACCACTGCCTTCTGCATTTGAGCCCGGAGCGGTCCGTCACGGAGTCCCAGTCGCCTCAGATGACCCGAAAGGCTGACTGGGATTAGCCCATTCGCAGAGACGACTACAGGAATAATTTCGGTCGGCCAACCACCCCACATGTCGGTCATCTCGTGAGCCAGGTCCAGATATTTTGTTCGCTTATCTGTTTCGGCTTTCACGAGGTTCTCGTCATACGGAATGGTAATGTCGACCAAAAATATCCTTGACTGTGCCCGATCCATCAGCACAATATCAGGCTTATTTGCAAGAATAGTCCTGTCTGTGATGATGGCCCGGTCCCAGTAGAGCCTGGCGCGGCTTTGGCGGCATTTTCGAGCACGGCTTCCGGCAAGTACTTGTAATACGGCAATTTCCGGTCCACGAGACCGTATTTCAGAGCGAGCTCCTGGTGTAGAATTCTGGCTACTAGGTTGTGCCTGTGCAAGTACTCAGAGTTAGAAAGCGCCGAACAGCCGGAGATGACATGCCTAAGTGACTCCCCGGGATGGCGACAAGCTCGACAGACGTCGACGGTGCCATCCTTTAGGATGTATCTCCGATAGTTGTTGGTCTTAATAACCTGATCCTGTATTGCACAGACAAAACCCTCGGTTTCCCCGAAGAGGTCACCGAAACGTAGCCAGTTGAGGGAGGCGACTGTATCTACGAAGGGCTCATGTAGAGCCCTGTAGTACCTCCCGTGGAGCTCCTTCTCCTTCCATACGATCTCCCGGTCGGAAATGCTAAGCACTGCTGGGTCCTGCCATTGCTCGTTGGCCAAGGATAGAGGGGTAAGCCCTTTATCACTAGAAATGACGTCATTATAGAATGGATCATCCGATCTCGCGAGGAAGTAATGACGGAGGCTGCACACTTCACGATTATGCATAGTGAGGGCGCTCAGAAAGCCACGCCCACCATGCTTTCGCGGCAAGTACAGCCTCATTACCGACGATCTCGGATGATGCATCCTATGGGACGTCATGGTAGTGCGGACTTTTCTATCCAGGGCGTTAAGTTCAGTCTGAGTCCACCTGAGTATGCCAAAGGTATACATAAGGACAGGTATGACCCAACCGTTATATGCGTGTGTCTTATTCACACCGGACAAAAGGCTATTAAGCACTTTGGTCAAGCGTGCATAAAACACGTCGCAAACTGACTGTTTCATACCAGCCTCATCGATACCGATGTTCTGTGACATACCCAGGTATCGGTATGTTTCAGCCTCGGGAAGGGTCCTTAAGTTGACGGGCATAGATAAATCTATGCCCTCAGAGTTAGCAACCCCTCCCCTCTCAACATGGAGGACCGCACACTTATCCGTCCCCAGCTCCATTCCAATGGAACTGCTAAACTCACAAGTGATTTTTAGAAATTCCATAAGATGGGAGCGACTGGAGGCGAATAACTTAAGGTCATCCATATAGAAAAGGTGGGTCACTTTTGTCCCTCCTTTCCGTAGCTGAAATCCTCTCCCGGATCCCTCCAGTAAGGTACTGAGAGGGTTCAGGGAGAGGCAGAACCAGATTTGACTCAGACAATCGCCCTGGAAGATACCCCTTCTTATCCTTATGTGGTTTTCCGCAGCCATCATCCGCTCACCCAGATGACAAAGGATCGTACTCCACTGCCCCATACACTGCTCGAGGAAGTCTCTCACTGTACAGTCTGTCTTGTAAAGCTCGAGGACTCTCTTTAGCCATGTATGGGGCACCGAGTCGAATGCCTTTCTGTAGTCTATCCAGGCGGTGGAGAAGTTCCGACGGTTGCGTTTCACCACTTTGCCAATGACCGCGTCAATGAGGAGTGGTTCCTTAGTTCCACGACCACCGCCCGACATCCATTTTGAGCGCGTGACATCATCTGATTTAGCTCCAGGTGACGAGTGATTCTCGCGCTCAAAATGGATGTCAGTGTCTTATATATGGTGGGTAGACACGTAATGGGGCGGTATTTGCTCGGGTCTGTGGTAACCTGGTCTTTAGGAACCAAATGAGTGATCCCAGTAGTGAAGAGGCTAGGGAGCGACTTCTGGTTGAGAGCCTCTTGAAACTGACGGGCGAGCACAGCGTGACACACCATGAACCCCTTCAGCCAGTAGTGATGCAGTCCGTCGAGTCCCGGACTTTTCCAGTTCGGGGCTCTACGGACCGCCTCAGCTACGTCATCCGGCGTTATGATGACGGGGTCCATGGGCGTAATACTCGCACACTGACTCGCCACAACTTCCGTCCAAGGGCCCTCGCTGTGGTTTACGGGCTCTGACCACAGGCCACGCCAAAATGCGACAGTGTTAGCCTGGTCCGGTCCTGGGCCCGCTCCACATACCTCTGGTCGCTCCAATGATTTGTAGAGCCTCTTCTGATCACTCTGGAAGAGACGATTCTGGTTGAACCGCCTTGACCTCTCGGTAAATCGGCGAATCCGCTTCCCCCAAGCAGCAATCTTTTGCTTCAGGTCGTCTATGCGCTCCGTTAGTTTCTGCGTGATATCCGGCTGGGACAATCTGATATTTGTCCCAGCAAACGCCATTCTAACGGTGCGCACAACCCTCGGTCTATTATTACCCGACCTGAAGCTTATCAGTCTGCCGATAAGGGCCCTTGCCTTTGCGATACGGTCAATCTTTTTCGCTCAATTCTTTTTCTCCAGGCTGGGATGGCGCTACTTTGTTTAGTAGCGGGTCCAGCCATGGGAAGTTTGGCGCCAATAATACGGCAAGCTGCCACTGCGGCGCCAAAAAGAACTGAGTCCATCTCGCAAAGGTCCCGGCTGGCTTCCAAATAGGTTACCAGCATTGGGTCAAGAGCCCTCACGACAGCCCGATTTCGCTTGGTTAGAGGTATGCGGGGGAAGTCGCGGTCGATTTTCGAGAGGCATGCTGCGCGTTTCCAAAATCGCCTCTTCCAATATACTCCTCATTTGCTCTAGTTCGTGGGAGACCATTTCATCATCGTCTGAATCAACCACAACTGGAAGATCCATGGGCGGCTTCTACGCGTGGCAGCTGGTCTGTCGCCTGAGGAGCCTCATCCCCAGCTGTAGCCAATTCATTCGATGAGGGAATGGCCTCACGTCGTAGTCGTTCGAGCTCGGCATCATCGAATATTTTCGAGCGCATGATGTACCGAACTCGGTCTGCCAAGTTTTGTTCCGTGACGGGAATAGACGGCTCCAGCTCAGCAAAAAAGCAATGCATCCGAGCCCGATACGCTATCCCCGCAGTTTCTTCCCCTTTCGCCCTATAGTACGCCCGCAATGCGTTTGCGTTCATATCCCTTGTCCAACGCATGCGGCGCACTCCACCAGCGGCGGATGCCGCTTGCCGAGTCCGAGAGGACCCTGCCGACATCAAGCCGTCTGGTGGGGATGATGGATGCGTGGGGCTCTTAGGTGATCTTGCAGCTCCTCGCGTTCGGCTGGCGGCCCGCATGCTGCCGCGTCGAGCGCCAGCTCCAGACGCGCCCCGGCGACCCCCAGGCAGCGGCCCTATACGTTTTCCAATCATATCCATCATCCATTTTTGGGCGCCAATTAACGGGAGACGCCCAGGCCCGGCACCGTTTCAATGTATCATTGTACGGCCGTAAGCACAAACGGGCCTTTGCATCCTGAGTACTGCCGAGGCACGGCGCTCACACCTCTTGGCAAGGCGCTGACTGACTGCACCGACGTAGCAGTTTTGTCACTTAACTGTTTCGTCAGCGGGCGATGGGGTCGTCACTTCCCTACGCCTTATTATTGTTATTATTATTATTATATGTAGTATTTACAGTATAAGCGTTTTAAGGGCAAAATTAGAATATCTTATAAAAATATTCCAGTGTGTTCAGTGTTTAGATAGCATGAGGTACAAGAAAAGTTTTGTATATGTATGTTAACTGTAATGTATGTAATCCGTCATTCTATACAATTCCTAGGAAATGTATATAATTCCTAAAATCGTACGGCAATGCGTAAAATAAATTATTTTACTATTAGACACATTTTCTTGAAAATACATACATTCCCTAAATAGCATTCGGAAATGTAATACATTCGACGTTTTTATCTGCCACCACCTCTTTTTCGACCCCTCTGGATCCTTTTTTGCAAATGGTGGTAAATTATGTTTATAATTATAAACATAATTTACAACATAATTAACATTTATATAAAATAATAAAAAAATATAATATTTTGGTGTTTTATTGAGTCTAAGAGCGAGTGAAGCGAATTCGGGATTTCGGGCACCAGAATCGGAGAGGGGTCTTTTTTTCCGGTCGGGTCAGCAAGCCGGGGTAGAGTCAGCGAGCGAAGCGAGCGAATAGACCCCACCTTCGTGGTTATTTTTATGTAAACCACTCAGATGTAGGAGCTCCACCAAGCAGGGCTCCGTCGATCAGGCTTCCCTCAAATGCTCCACGTTGAGTGGCGGGGCTTCCCTCCCCAAACTCTTTTCCCCTAAATCAGGTTTATACTGTCAAAAACATTACGAAAACACAACCACAAAATAAGATTTTTAAAAATTTATTCAGAGAAAGCATTCCTTTTAAACATTCCCTATTACGATATCGGAATTTTATACATATCCTATTAAAAATACATTTAATAGGATATGTATAAAATTCCGATACATTCGCCATCCCCTTCCCCCACCCTTCGTATACATATCCCAGGATATGTGTGTTATACACTTCCTAAATAGCTTTGGAATTGTAAGCAAGTGCTCTCTGCAAATTTTACGAACGGTGGCGAAAAGCAATTTTAAAGTTTTGTTTTCGCAAAAATTAACATAAAATAATACCCTACACGACGATCTTTTATAAGTTACACACATATTTAGTTCTAATTATTTGGTGGTGTGGTCTTTTTTGAGAAAAATGTCTGTGATAGATACAGATAGATACTGTGAGATGATGTCATGAGTTCCGTATTGTTAATTTTTTTTATTAGAAAACTCAACAACAATTTTTTAACATACATGCTTAAAAATATATATTTATAGTATACTTGCCAATAACAGAGTTTCGCAACATGCTGAGTAGCACTTACGAAGCAGAGAGCTTAGTATAATGATTTCTTATATTTACGCGAACACTACACATTGAAATAATACTAGTTTTTACGGAATTTATCGCGTATATTTAACTTTTTAATTACCCGACGTTTCGAGAGCTTTACAGCACCCATGGTCACGGGAAGGACTGAGATGTTCAACGTCCAGCTGTCATAGTTAACCGCGGTTACCATAGATTAAAATTTAACTTTTGTTCCGATCTACACAGTATGAACTTATGGTATCATGGAGTCTTGCAGTTGTATGCTTGGGTTGGGATTTAATTTTATTTATTATAGGATCCCAAGCAGATGGTAGCACCCAGCCATCTTCTCTATTGAAATTAGAATGTTTTTTGATTTCAATAGCCTCGCGAATTATCCTTGGAAGGAATCGGTGTTCTTTAGCGAGGATTCTAGTCTATCAAATCTGATGTAGTGACGGGGGCGATCCTGTACATGTTCACAGACTGCAGACTTCCCGGAGCGTCGATTCTTCACATCAGCTATATGTTCTTTGACGCGGGTTTTAATGGATCTTTTAGTTTGTCCTATGTAGGAGAGACCACATTCACAATCAAGCTTGTACACTCCTGCATCTTGCAGAGCGACGTTACATTTGACTGATGATGCTGTAAAGCTCTCGAAACGTCGGGTTATTAAAAAGTTAAATATACGCGATAAATTCCGTAAAAACTAGTATTATTTCAAAGCTTAGTATAATTTAAATAATATTTTATTGCATTGCAGTATAGGGTTCTAAGTTGATTTTGTCTTTTTGTGTGCGTGCGTGTGTTTGTGTGTGTGTGTGTGTGTGTGTTATTCTCAAAGCTAAGTATTTTTAAATAAATATCCCGTAGTATGGAAGTACTCCCAAGTTTTTATAAAAAGTGAATGTCTATTTTGCTCAATTATAATTAGATAGGAAATCAGTTATGGACGATTGACCTCTCCCTGTTAGCATAAACAGCCATAAGGCAATGTTTGCTAAAGATTGTACTTGAGAACGTGTTACTTCGTATCGTTTCTCAAGTTCTTATTCATAATATACATTTTAAGGAATAAATAAAAAAAGAAAGTTAATGACTGCGATACTATCATTTGTGATCTGTTGAATGAATTAATGTTTGTTTTTAGATTTGCTTGCTATTGCCGGAAATAGCTTATTTCAAAGTCATGGTTACTTCTATGCTTCCTTAGGAACTCCATTACAAAACCTGTTCACCTTAAACACAAACTTTGAATAATATTAAGCCTGTAAGCATAATGAATTAAACATATCATTTCCCATAACGACTTTGACTATGTTGAAATATTGTTCGGAATGTAAATAACATTTTAATTCAGTCTGGAAGTGGAAATGACTTGAATATTTGAAAAGAAATTGACCTAAACCTCAAAAAAATCAAAGTTAGTTTTTCGGAATGATTAAATCCTACACCTTTACCACAAATACTACACATCGGTGCCTTATCGCTGTTTCGATAAGCGGAGAGTCTTTATCAACTTTCTTTTATGAATATAACTATCACGTTTGACGCGGTTGGATAGAGCTACGCTGTAGCTGTATTTTGGCTCCACCGGCGAAGAACCATCGATATAAAATAATAGAATTCATTCATCGTTCATTACATCTCACCAAATGTTCAATGCTGAATACGGGTCTTCCTCTACAGACATATTTGCCACAGTTGCCACGCTCGGCGAGCGGGTGCACAACGGCTTATTATTTTACTATTGATTTGTTACTAGTCATTCGACGTTCTTAGAGAGTGGACGTGTTGTGGGTTGTAGTCCGTTACATTTATTCAAATATAAACCTTATTAAATAGTACACATAAGTTGTAGTTCAGAAAAGTGGTACAGTTCTGTGTTATTTCATAGATCAAAGGTTTTTGCAGAATTGGTACTTCGTAATGTTGCGGTCGCCAGACAAGCTTTACAGTTCAAACCTTGACATTAATAAATCAGGTGAGCGAAGCAGTATGACTACTCGAAAGCGTAAACACGATAGCGACTTCTCAGAGGCTCTCAAAACTTATACATCAGAGATACGTTGAACTTTGCATGACTGGAAAAAGGAAATTCAAGACGAAGTATCCGGAATTAAAAACAATTTGGACCTTGTATTAAAAACTGATCTTGTAAATTAAATGCATCCTTCGCTGAAATAAAGTTGGAAATAAGCAGTGTTCGTCAGGAACATCACGAGATTAAAAAGTCAGTCCATTCTCTTAACTTAAAGAAAAATGAGGTAATGAAGCAAATCATAGTTTTAGAAAACTCTGTACAGTTCAATAGCGACCAATGCGACAATGTCCAAAAGAAAACGGAATTAATAGCCGTTAATAAAAAAGCAATTGAATCACTCGAATCAAAATTAGATTTATTGACTAATGAAAACAGACAATTACAATTGGAAATTAACACAAATAATCAAAGAGACCGTCTGTTGAACTTAGAGATCGTCGGAGTCCCTGAAATCAAGGATGAAGATTTAAGTAAAATAATTCTATCCGTTGCTAAGCACTCTAATGTAAATATTTCCGCCGATGATGTCATAGAAGTCAACCGTGTCGCACCGAAAGTCAAACAACAAGGCCGTCCAAAAAACATAGTTGCAAAATTAAAATCCCGTCTCCTGAAGGACAACATAATCTTTTTCTTTTTGAAAGGGATTTTATTCGGGTATTCGAAAAAATCGACTGACCACCAAAGATCTTGGCATTCATGGCAGCGTACGTCCTGTATATGTCAATAAGCATCTTACATACTGCAATAAGTTTTTGCTAAAGAAATGTAGGGAGGCGGCGAAACTTAAGCAGTATCAATATGTGTGGACAAAAAACGGGAGGATCTACGTGAGGAAGAACGACACGTCTCCGGCTTTGCATATATCACAGGAAAGAGACATTTTAAAATTAATTTAATCTTACTTTGCTTGTTCTTTTATTCTATTTTTAAAGATATTATATTGCTTAAGAAAATCAACTCAAATATTGGTAAAACAATTCACTGGTCTCTCTCAGTTCAGTTTGTCTATACTATTATATATTATTCTTTGTCTGAGCATAATATTGTTTTATTATGTGTTGCGAATGTACGAAGTGTAAAGGTGTATGTGATTGTATTTGTAATACGGTTATGCGGCGTAACATTATTTCATTTCTGGAAATAGGTGGAAATAAATACGTTAAAAAATTATTATTTATTTTAACTGTGTAGCTTTAATTTACTAAAAATTGTGCACAATTGGATATATATTTCTTGTCATTAGTGACTGCAAATAATTTAAGCTGTTATTACCAGAATATTCGTGGTCTTAGGACTAAATGTCTTGAACTTCGACTAAGCATTTTGACGAACGATTATGACGTAATAATTTTGACGGAATCATGGCTACAGAGTGGTATTTTTGACGGTGAGCTATGTGACGATAGATATGAGGTATTCAGGGCTGACAGAAATTTGTGTATAAGTAATAAAAATACCAGTGGTGGAGTTTTAATACTAACGCGACGCACACTCGGTGCCATGCATCGTGACCTTGGTATATGCGGTCCTACAGAGCTGTTGTGGATAACTATTCCTTTGGTTGCGTGTGCTTCAAGCACCAACTTACATATTTGCGTGACATATATTGCACCTGACGCTCGTCAAATGCCATCGGATCTCATTATTATTAGACAAAAAATTAACAGTATTATTGATAATTTTGTAGTATTAGGAGATTTTAATTTGCCGTTCATTACTTGGAACCCAAACGGATACACAATTTTAAAAAATGGGTCTACCGAGGTACAAGAAGCGAGTACCTAGCTGATGGAAGTATTTACATTTCACGGGTTAAGACAATTTAATACTTCAAAAAATCATGCTGGTAACACGTTGGATCTTGTATTTTCTAATTTGCCTTTAAATATCATCCCCGCATATGCGCCGCTTCTCAAAGAGGATCGCGCACATCCTTCTTTCTGTTTTATAGTTTTGGAATTAAGTATTACTCCTCTACGTGAAACAGCTGCACCGAGGCGAAATTTCAGGAGGGCTGATTATGATAGCATTAACATGTATCTTTTGGAACAGGACTGGCGTTCTCTTTTGTGTACAGGTACTATAGACGAGGCTACAGACACCTTTTATAACCTACTGGATAGTTGTGTTCGTTTATATGTGCCTTTTGGTAATAACACAGCGAGGCGGTCTTATCCTAAATGGTACATGTCAGTCACGTTTAATAAAAATAATTAAGGAGAAAACAAAAGCTCACACACGTTGGAAAAAACTCGGGAATAGGTTAGATTACGATGAGTTTTCATTACTCCGAGCAAGAGAACGCCGTGTTCAGAGAGAATGTTACAATAAGTTTAAATCGAGTTGTGAAAGCAGCATCAAAAAACACCCGAAAACGTTTTGGACTTTCGTCAAGGCCATGCGGATGCGGCCAAGAAAATGTCTTTGGAAGGTGTAGAGTACACCGAAGGTATAGACATATGCAATGCTTTCAACTCATTCTTCCAGAGTGCTTTTGGTGTACCTAGTAATAATTATACATCTCCACATACGGAATCAATGTGTACTGACATAGTTTCTAATATACAGACAAACACTACAATAGTCGAAAAAATGTTGAAAACTTTGGACACGAACAAAGGTGCCGGTAGTGATGGGTTACCTTACTTTATTTTGGTCACGATGTGCTAAATCACTTGCTCTCCCCTTGAGTCTTATATTTAACCGCTCTCTACGTGAAGGAATCTTTCCGCATAAATGGAAGTGTGCACATATAGTCCCGGTACACAAGAAGGGTTCACGAACTGATATAAAAAATTATAGAGGTATTTCTATTTTAAACACAGCAGCTAAAATCCTTGAACGAGTAGTATATAACGTAATTTACTCTACGATTTCACGCTCCATCCCCGAGCAGCAACATGGTTTTTTGCAAAGGCGATCCACCACTACCAACTTGGCAAGTTTTTCTAGTTTTGTCCTTGAGAATATGGATCAAGGTGGGCAGGTTGATGTGATTTACACTGACTTTGAAATAGCTTTCGACCATGTGAATCACGTGATCCTGCTCAATAAGTTACAAACCTTAGGTATTCACGGTGACTTGCTCCGTTGGACTGAATCATATCTCACAAACCGCTCACAGGCAGTCGTAATAGGTGGTTACCGCTCGAGCTATATAAACATACCTACAGGAGTTCCCCAAGGCTCTCATTTAGGTCCACTTTTTTATAATGCCTACCTATATGACATAGGATCATGCATAGAACATACCAATTACCTCATGTGTGCAGACGACAAGAAGATTTTTCGGAAAATTAACACTATACATGACTGCCTATTGATACAAAAGGACTTGGACGGTTTACTTGAATACTACAGGGTAAATAATATAACTGTTAATGCAGGCAAGTGTGAATGTATTACTTTTACGCGGAAAACTAAGCCAATTCTACATAAATATCATTTTACCGGAGTGGAAATCAGCCGAAAACTAAATGTTAGGGATTTAGGCGTATATTTTGAACATAAAATGATACAATCTGAACACATTGATTATGTTATCAGTAAAGCCTATAAAAATCTTAGTTTTTTTCGCATCTGTAAACCATTCACGGACATTAATGCATTCAAAACGGTTTATTTTGCGTATGTCAGAAGCGTTTTGGAATGTGCTAGTTCGATATGGTCTCCACAATACTATGTTTACAAAAACCGCCTTGAGCGAATTCAAAAAATATTTGTTAATCATCTTAATTTTCGCTGTCGTAAAAAACTCGGTACTTACACAGACAGTTGTACTGAGTTTTTATTTGTATTTCTTCCAACAACAATATACCATCAAGCAATATAAGGGAAACCTGTTAATGGCCATACTTTTAGTTTGTTACATTAATGTTAAATTTTTTCTGTATACGCTGTTGGTTTTCGAAATAAATAAATAAATAAGTTATAAGGACGATGTTGTTTTAGTGTCCCTCAATCGCCTCTTGCGACACCCACGGGATGATGATATTGGGTTGTAGATTTTCTTACGTTGACACTACATATAAAAATGATAGAATACCCGCATAAAATAGCAGCATAGTGCTGTTGTATTACGTATAATGACGACAACTGCAGATTAATTTTACTGGTAGCCAGACATTCCACCTTAGTCCTCAGGGGTGTCTAAAAATCTGCAATATTAATTGAGGTTAAATGTGCGTGCTTAACCCATCGTGTTGCGTATGCTCATTTTTCACAATTTACTGTATAAAAAGTAGAGACGGGCCGAATATGGATTTAATATTCGGCCGAAAGTTCGGTAAAAGTTTTAGTGAACCGAATATTCGGCCGAACATTATTCGGCAGGATCACCTCGATACCTAACCAATTTATCTCGAAACTTGTTACCGTAAAGCGCGTGGGATTAGCGTCGGACCTTGCCTCTCGCTCCCCCCCCCCACACCTGACATGTTATTGCATCATCTAGTATTGAGAAAATTGTTTGCAAATGCTTCTTTTGACTATTTTTGAGAGAAAAAATGTATTTCGTGTTCGTAAAAATCGATAATCATATGATAAAAAATTAGTGGCAGGAGATCTACTATTTGGACTTATTTCGGAGAAATTGACCATCAAAGCAAAATGAAATGTACTAATGTAATGTAATGTTTCTTTGTTTGATTCCAAAATCATTTTATCAAGCTTTCTATTTGCTGTAATTTTAAATAAATCTACAGTGCCTCAAAAACATAACGCTATACAAATAGATTTAACTCATACTGGCATGATGGCATTACTCAATTCGTACATTTCAGCACAGTGCACACTTCGAGTTCTACTTTAACGAATGTTCGGTGATTTAGGCGAATATTCGGCCGAATACGAATATTTGACAAAGCTACCAAATATGCCGAATACCGAATATGAAAAGAATATTCGGCCCATCTCTAATAAAAGTTTATCCTACTAGGGTTTTCAGAAATCCATTGTTTAGCGGATAATTGGGAACACCAATTACTATTTCCTCGCATACATATAGTTATTTTATTTTGCATTAGCTTTTTTACCCGCGATTTCGTCCGTGTAACACTTAACAAAAAACTTGCAATTGAAATTAGTATTCTTTAAATCGAAAAATTGCTATAAATTAAGTTTTTTACCATTATTTCGAAAATATGGAAAATATGACACAATGGTAAAATGTTGAAAATAAAAATTGAAGACCCATTAATCTTACGTAAATAAGGTCTTACCACCTTATCCTTTAATATTAATAATGGTTATGGTGTAAAATTGTGTTGAAGTAAAAAAAGTTTCTTCACCAAAAGAAAAAAATTTGTACGCAATATTTTTTATATCGTCTATAGTTTCTGATATATACATCAGAAACTATTTACATTATTGTTTTTTCAATTCCAAGAAAAGTTATTTATGTTTTCCAGAAAAATTAGCCAAGATCATTCTTAGTATTGATGACTATTTTTATCTATTTATATATATATATATATATATATATATATTTTTTTTTTTTTATCATCATTCGTCCAATTTCATTCAAAGCTTAGCAAAGAAAGAAGGCAGTTGTTTCTATGTTACAGACAAATTTATTTATATGTATTATTAAATAAAGATTACAGCAGATAATTTGGGACCAAAAAGTAGGCCTCAAACATAAATAAACTATAAAAAGCGACGACCAAATAGTTTTTATTTATATATTCTATTTTATTCAGTGAGAGTTGTAGTGCTGATGAGCGTCGG